GTTGAACGAAGGGATAAATCAGGGTGCCAGGCGTGTCCACCAAGTCACCCGTGACCCTGCTGCGTGGCGCCCCACGTCCACCCTCAGCCGCTTCGGGAATATTGTTTCGGACCCGCAGGAGCTCTTGAGAGCTGAATCCAAGCGATTTGGGTCCTTGTGGAATGCGTCCCCCTGCCCTCCCAGACATGTGACTAAAGTTTTAGATCCCCTACCCCTTGCCAGCATAGATCAAATACGAACCTTATCCAGGAGCTACTCTCGTCGTTCTGCCGTCGCGTTGGACGGCTTTCACATGCGCCACTATCAATACCTCTCCGACGAGGCCCTGGAGTGTTTCGCTCTCCTCTTGCAGGTGATCGAAGTCAGCGCGATGCTTCCCCAGCAATTGAGGGCCTTCATCGTGGCCCTGATCCCCAAGAAGGTCCCTGGCTTCCGACCCATCGGTGTCTTCTCCTCTCCCTTCAGGCTTTGGGGAAAACTTCGCCGTCCCTGGGCCCTGGAGTGGGAAAGACAGAATGATCGGCCCTACTGGGCCGCGGGGAAGCATCGGTCCGCCACTGACATTGTGTGGCGCCAGAGTGTACGCGCTGAGGCCAGCACCTCGGCTGACCAGCATGCAGCTTCGATATTCTGGGATCTTTTGAAGTTCTATGAGCTGATCCCGCTGCACGTCCTTGAGGCGAGGTGTCATCGGCTCAGCTTTCACCCGACACTGATCGGGGTGTGTCTCGCCGCTTATCGATCGAGCAGGTACCTCGTTCTCAGTGGTGTCGTCGCTCCTGGGGTCTTCGCCGACACCGGTTTGGTCGCTGGGTGTTCTATGGCCACGACCCTCATTCGGGTCTTCGGGTTAGAGGCTTTCGACAGCCTTTCGCTCCCCCCCTCGGTCACCCTCGATGTTTACATCGATGACACCAGCCTCGATGGAGTTGGCAGGCTTGAGCCGTTGGTCGCTGACATGCGCAGCGCGGCTAGTCAGCTCGAGTTTGCGATTTCTCACTCCATGAAGGCTCACATTGCTCTTGACAAAGTTGGCATGGTTACCAGCAGTAAGGTTATTTCCAGTAGGCTCCAGGAGGCCTTCGGAGATCTCGTGGGTCCCCTCCTTGAGTCGGCTGTCAACCTCGGTCATGACCATGCTGCTGGTACGTCTAGGCGCGTCCGTGGACGCAACTCCAAGACTAAGGCCCGCCTGCTGTCTGCCACGCGCCGTGCGCGGAGGCTCGCCCGTCAGCGAGGCGTCATCGGCAGACGTGCAACTAAGGTTTTCTGTGCAGGTGCTCTTCCAGCACTGCAATATGGTGCGGACGTGCATGGCATGTCTGACGGCGAGCTGTTGCAAGTACGACGTCTAGCAGCTTCCACGATGAAGCCATCCTGCGGCGGCCGCTCTCTATGTATCCTCACTCGGGTTGAAGGCGATCCTGCCTGGTATGGGTCAGTCGCTCCTCTCCTCCACTATCATAGAGAGCTATGGCTGCTGCGCACGCGGATGACAGATTATACTCATTCTTGGGCTCAGATCAGATTGGGTTGGGAAAGCGTTTGGAACAATCCCCCGCGGACCTGGAGATCTGTCAAAGGGCCTTTGGGGGCCATGTACTTGTCGATTGCTAGACTGGGATGGACCATGAGTTCCCCATACATCCTGACCGACGACCGCGGAGTGGAAATCCCTCTCCTCCTCATCTCTCCTGCCCTCCTCGAACGGCTCTGTAAGTCTGCGATTTTCAAAGCTCTTGAATGTGAGGCTGGAGACAAATATGGTCAGGGTTCTAGGCTTTGTTTCGACGTGCTGTGTACCTCTTTGAATTCGAAGAAGTACACTCCCAAGCAGAAGGGAATTATTAGAACTCTTACTTGTCAGGGCTTCTGGCCTTTGAGTCGTGCCAAGGCCCTGGGATACCAAGCTGAGGACAAGTGCCCTCTCTGTCAGGCCGAGGGCGATACGATGATCCACCGCCTTTGGTATTGCCCTTCTTGCGAGGCCGAGCGTTCTGAATATATCAAGCCCCAGTTGTTGAGCCGCGTCCGCCAGGAGCTTGAGGCTGGCGTCAACCCTGGTTTTAAGGTGCTTTGTGAAACTGGGCTCTTCACTCATCCTTCCTCTGAGGCTCCCCTCCCTCAGTCGGCCCAGGAATCTCAGGACTCGGTGGTTTATGAGTTTTTTCCTGATGCTTTTGAGGAGGCTGGTCTGCCTCTTCCTCCGGAGGGGCGAAGGGAGGTTCGGGGCAAATTTTTCCTGGATGGATCGTGCTTTAGACACCCCGTGCGTGAACTCTCCCGCTCTGGATGGGGCGCGGTCTGGCTTAATGACCAAGGTCAGATTCTCGTCCGTGCTTACGGCACGGTTTGTAATGTATATCCTCAGACGAGCGTGGCAGCTGAATTCGTCGCTCCTGCTGCCGCCTCGTGCCTGATTGAACACACGGCTGAATTTCTGTCTGATTGTAAGGCGGTGGTCGATCATTTTGCCCTGCCTTCAGCCCAGCAGCTCTCGCCCGCCAGGCCTTACAGTGGTCTAGTGATGCAGTGCCTGGCGAATGCTGACGGCAGACTCGAGGGTGTCTCCAAAGTGAAGGCGCACCTCACCGAAGATCCCAGCCTCCCCTGGGAAGAGCGTTTCAACATTCGTGGTAATAACTTTGCAGATGAAGCGGCGAAGGCAGGAGCGAACCTTCACCAGCCTCTTGAAGATAGCCTCAATGACAGTCTGTCTTTTTTGGTCTCTGTTTCCAAGGCTGTCGCCAACCTTGCCGCCCATCTCTTGGACCTTTGGCCCAGGACCAACCTGGACGGGGTCTCTTGGGAGCGCCCTCTGGCTCCTGGTCCTCCCAGGGTTCAGGGTCCTGGTCACTCCTGGGGTTGGGCTGGCAAATTCTGGCAATGCAACGAGTGCCTCAAGTGCTCTCGTTCTCTCTCGAAGCCTCCGCCTGGGAGGTGCACTCAACAGCTCAAGGTTTCGCCCCAGTCTCTAAGAGATTTGGGTCACCGCTGCATCATTGTTGACTGCAGCGATGGAAGTTTTGTGGCATTCTGCCAGCTGTGCTTCTTCTACACATGTGGAGGACAGCTTCGCGGCTTGGGGGACCCCTGTCCAGCGAATCCCTCCCACCCTCTGGTCGCGAGAGGTCACGCTGACAAGCTTTGGTCCGCCCACAAATCCCGCAGAAGAGATCTTTGGTCCAAACTCAGCAGAGGACTCCATCCGAAACGGAATGGGGTCACAGTTGATTTGGACGGCATTGGAGTTTTATAACAATTATCTCTCTGATGCACTTTTGCCGCTCTGCGGGTCTTTGATCGTGGATGTCAAAAAAAAAAATCCTCCTCCTCCTCCTCCTCCTCCTCCTCCTCCTCCTCCTCCTCCTCCTCCTCCTCCTCCTCCTCCTCCTCCTCCCCTCCTCCTCCTCCTCCTCCTCCTCCTCCTCCCCTCCTCCTCCTCCTCCTCCTCCTCCTCCTCCTCCTCCTCCCTGCCTCCTCCTCCGCCTCCTCCTCCTCCTCCTCCTCCTCCTCCTCCTCCTCCTCCCCTCCTCCTCCTCCTCCTCCTCTCCTCCTCCTCCTCCTCCTCCTCCTCCTCCTCCTCCCCCTCCTCTCCTCCTCTCCTCCTCCTCCTCCTTCTCCTCCCCCTCCTCCTCCTCCTCCTCCTCCTCCTCCTCCTCCTCCTCCTCCTCCTCGACCTCCTCCTCCTCCTCCTCCTCCTCCTCCTCCTCCTCCTCCTCCTCCTCCTCCTCCTCCTCAGGGGCGGCAAAGAGGGGGGTGATGACAAGCGGGGGTGGATAGCATGGTGGGGGCCATGAGATCTCCCCAGATGTCATGGCGCCTCGTATCATTTCAATACGTCCCTGGCACCTCCCTGGGCCGCGCACATGCCGCCGGCCACGATTTGCGCCCCCCCAGCTTGGACGCCTCCCTCTTGGCCGCCCCCCGCCCCCGAGACAGGAAAGCGGGTTCGTCTTCGCCGACATTGGCGCGTCAGCTTATCGCGTAAGGTTGCGCGTGAGCGCCCTCGTTTCCGGTGTAGCCTGCAGCGCTGGCAGTCCGCACAAGCCACCGCGTAAGATCGCTGTGACATCTCGCGTAAGACTCGTTTCTGCTTGTCGGTCATATCATTGTCCACGCTTTTGTTTGACCTTCGTTTCTCAGAGGAGGGCGCTCGGCAGTTGGCCATTGGGGGCCTCCTCGCCGCCACGGCAGGAGGCAGCCCAGACAACATGTCCCTGGGAGGAGTCTGGGGACCGATTTTGAGCTCCCGTCGTCTCAACTCGCCCTCTTCCCGAGTTTCACATTCGTAATTGCCGGTTGCCGATGCGAAGTCTAGGCGCGGCTTCCCCCTGCCTCCCATGTCCACCCCCCACTCGCAGACGTTCGATGTCGTATATTTCCAGAGCGCGCGGACCCCCATGTTCCCGATCCCTTCACGGGACCAGTCCGTCGTCCTGAGTGTTATTTGGCGACCCCAGGGCCCCCGGAGGCTGACAATCTCTCAAAACATGTTGCGCCGTGGTGTTGGACACGACGCGAGAACGGGTCTAGGTCTCCCACTGGTTAGGCTTCGGGTTGCGCACAGACGGCTCCCCCAGGTGCTGCCGGCTGGCCTCAACAAACCCCACAGTAGTTCAAGTCAGCTTCCACACCTCAGCCCGGGGGCGCGGAGCGCCCCAGCGGAGCCGCCAGAGGCGGCGCCAGGGTGTTGAGACCAGCCTGGGCTACTCCGCGGGCCTGCTGATGCAGCCAGAACTGCCTCGGGGGGGGGGAAGCTGTCTGTGCGCAAGCCGATAGCGGGAGTGACCAGGGGGGGAAGGCTGCCGCTAACGTCACGACTCGCGCCGGCGCCGCTTGGGAATGCTTCGGAATCGGTAACTCCAGACGGCGCCGGCGCGAATCGCGAGGTGACCAGCGGAGCGGGGAGGTGGGGGGGGGGCGGTGCCGGTGACGGGGGAAGGGGGGGTGGGGCGGTTACGGTAACGGCCGCCATCGCGAGTCCGCTCCGACAGGAGGAGGAGCTCCTGAGGCAAGCCGTGCGGGAGGATCGTCGGCCGGCGGTACCCGCCGACGGCGCGCTTCGGGCCGCTGAGCCCGCTGCGGCTGCGCCCACAGGCGCCGAGGCCGCGGAGTCCTCCGGGCGGGTCAGTGCGGCGTGCTCCTCCGACGACCAGGCTGGCGCGGCCTCCGAGGACGACCTGGACTTCCAGGAGCCGGGGCGGCGTCGGGGGGCGGGGCAGCGCACCGACCCCCAGGCGCCCATGCATCGCCGAGGGGCCCGGCAGGCTCGCCCCGCCGATGGCCGTGCGGAGTCGCTATTGAGGGCCTGTCGCCGACCTGTTGGCCACACATCGCCGATGCAGGCTCGATGGTGCACCCCCCCATCTGAGCTCGGTGGTCCACCAATGGGGTCCTGAGCGAAGGGGGATCCAAGGGTGGACTTACACTGTCTTAGGCACCTCGTCCTTAGGATTGGGTCGGGCGCGTCCATCTACAGGAGGGAAATTCAGAACTAGTCAAGAAATAGTCTTGGGACGATTTCCGGTGATTGTTTTGAATATGGGTATGTGCTGAGTCTGTTTCATTTTGCATCCAAACTCCGCCTGCAGGGGGACATGCCCGACCTAACCTCAGGACCCCAGCCCTCTGGACCCCATTATGGAGCCACCGACGAGCTGGTCCCCCCCTTCCCTGAACTTCCAGGAGGGCTAAAAAACAGCACCCGACTTAAAACCTATCCTAAAGCTATTCTACGTCTTGGTCTTGGGCTGTTCGGCTCAGCTGGTTTCAGGTTTGCAGGCCTCGGGTGCTAAAACATAGCTCTCTGGAAGGTCAGGGCTTGACGCTGCCCCTCGCCAGGACGCCCTGGAGGGCGAGGGCTGGGAGGGGCGCGGCGAGGGCGGCGAGCTCTGACGGCCGGGCCAGGCCGGCGCGACCTCTCCGAGGGCGGCCTCGTGCTCTCCAGGGCTCGCTGCGGCGGCGCGCCTCGGGGGGGGTGGGGAGGCGGAGGACGGGCTCTCGAGTCGGGCATGTCCCTCCACAGGAGGGGTATCGAAAGGTAGTGAAAACCTGTTTTGGGGGGCGAGGTTTCGGCAATTGTTCCGAGCGTGAACTACCTGCCCCGCTTTCGCTGCCAGGCAAGACCAAGTCATGCCATGTGCCTCCTCGTCAAGCGGCCTGGCCAGAACAGGCCGTGGTTTGGCATGGTTTGGTATCTCTTCGAAGCGAGGGTTGGTCAAAAGCGAGGTAGGGTCGTTTGCCCCCTAATTTGGGACGTGTGGTTTTGTATAAAAAAGCAATGGGGCTTGGTTTTTATTGGTTGCCCCAAATCCGCCTGTAGGAAGACATGCCCGACCTAAGGGCAGGCCTTCCCTGAGGTCCTGGCGCCTCCTATTTTTGTCTCCGGGCCGGGCCTTGCTCGCCAGGCGTGGGGTCCTATTTATGGGGCCCTCGCAGGTCGATCCGGGGCGGAAGCACCGTGGCACGGAAAGGCAGGGTCCGGCGTTCCGGCCGCTGCTGTTTTGATGTTGCAACCTTTGTCGCTGCGTCGGGTCTCGGTGCGGGCAATAGTTATATCAACAGCCAGTGCGTCTTGGAGTCTTGGGCTCTCTTCCCGAGAAGCCGGAGACGAACTCTGGATATGGAGAACATCTGGCCCCGAGAGGCTTGAGTTATATATATATATATATATATATATATATCCAGTGCGCCTCGGCGTTGCGGCACCTCTTCCCGAACAGTCCAAGACGCTCTGGACATGAGTATAAGTGCTGCCCGCACCGAGGGAGGGAGCAGGCCTTGTCAGAAGGCGGCTGGGCTTCCCCTCAGAAGCCCTTCGGCGCCGTCTGAGCCTTCTGAGGTGGCCCGCCCCCTCTGCCTTCCCCCCAGGGCTAGCCTTAAGTCGGGCCTGTCCCCCTACAGGGGGATTTTCGACGAAAAATACAAAGTACCCCAAACATAATCAGAAAAATAGTCCGAAAATGGTCTGGGGACTAGTTTTGGGGATAGTTTTTGGCCTGTTTGGGGGTATTGTTTAGGGTATCTTTTTTTGTTCGTCGAGCATCCCCCTGTACGGGGACACGCCCGACGTAGGGCTAGCCGCCAGCCGAGGGGCAGCAGGAAGGCGTGCAGACATGAGCCGTCGGAGGTCCGCGTGGCCGTGCCGGGTCGGCGCGCACGGGATCCCCCTCGGCGAGGCGCCTCCGGCAGGGGGAGAGCGGGCCCAGGCGCCGACCCCCGAGCGCCGCGGGGGACCTCCGCGAGAGTCGCCGTGCACGCCGTGCTCTGCAGTTCACTGGTCGCGTTTCGCTGGGGGTATTGCATTCAGGAGGGGAGAACACACAGACACAATGAATCGTCCACTCCCAGGGAAACATATGGGAAAAGATGGGAAGTAGGGGGGAAGACAACAACTTAGAAAATATGGGGAAATATGGGGAATTCTTTTATTTGTGTGTATTTATTATTTGTGTGTCCCAGGGCCCCTTCATTCATAGAGGTACAACATCGGCCAGAGAACAGTCCCGCAGGGGGGGACGGGGAGCCAGGGACCGGTCGGCCGAGATTGCCCGGCCTGGCAGCCGTTTTTTTTGTCCCTGAGACTTCCTCGCACTTGACCCAGGAATCGTCGTATTCTCGCCTCAGTGCCGGCTACGTCGTTGTTCAGGGCGGCCGCGATTCCTTTCTAATGCATACTCAGACTTTCTTAATAAGCGTCGGGGAGGCGTCACACCCGCCGGCAGCCCCACATCGACCCCCATCGCGGGCAGCCACCGCGCGCCAAAGGCGCTCCGACCCCCGTCGTGGCGCGACGACGAGGCGAGGTTGACCCCCGTGGGGGGGTTACACCCCTACGCTCATCAAGAAACCCAGAGTACACAGAGGTGCACATGGCCGTGCTCGCACACCCGTCCAGGCTGTTACTTTTGCTGCCAGCCATTAGGATGTTGCTAGGATGAGACTGTTGTCAGGACGCCTTGGCTGGGAGGGGCGTGGCGAGAGCGGTGGGGCTCCAGAGGTCCACACGAGAGGAACGCGCCGACCATCTCGCACTCCCGTGGTGCAGTCGGTGTGGACGAAGAAGGGAGTCGAGAAGTTGCGGTTGGGCTCCTTGGCGATCGTGTTCTTATTCGTTGATGTTTGCCGATCGGTGCGGGCCCTCGTACCCCCCCAAGTCCCCCCCCCATGGAGCTGATCTTGCAAACGGTCGCACTAAGCAGAGGTCCGGAGCCAGACCCCTCCATCCCCCCCCTTCCGCCCAATGTCGAAACGCCGAATAAGAAATCGCTGACTTGTTTGATTCTTATCAAGACACCACCATTCTTCCATCGCTTCGGCATGCCCAAAATAGCCATACCCAAAGGGGCCATGCCCAACACGTCACCATTCCAGATTCCTTTCTAGGCATGCTCGAAAGCATGAGCACATAGGATGCCACCGTACGCTTCTTACGCACCCCCCAGCGGCCCTCCACGCCCGCCTTAGTTACAGACGCAGGACTACTGAGGCCTCCCAGAGGTGAAACAACAAATCAAGGGGAACCCAAAGTTACGAGCTCTGCCGCATGCCACTTCCCTGGGTGCATGCATCGTCGCTCCAGACGCCAGGGGGCACCCAGAAAGCCAGCCGCGTCGGATTCGGTACCCCGCCCCACCGTGTCGCCCACCCGGGGGCACGTATTTCCTCATTGTCCCCGCCCCCTCCTCCTCTCTTGCCCTCGGCAGATCCTGCACCGGGGTCCACAGTGTTTCCGATCCCACCCAGGATCGGGGATGGACAGACCTCCCTTTAGTAAAACGTGGTTAGTGGAAACGACCTGAGGCCCAAACCTGGCGGGTGCAAGTCTGGAAAATGGCGGCCACGGCGCCCTCTCGAGAACCGAACACGGACAATTCACTAATCGACGTGTCACTGTTGGGGGGTCTGTCCGCCCCCGACCGTTGCGTAGTAGGGGCCCGAGCAGCACAGCGACTCGCGCGAAAGCAAGCCCAGCTCTTCTCGGGTGGGCACGCTGGCAGGGAGGGCCGACGGATCTTGCCTCTGGCGCTCGGCGGCCCGCCGGAGGACGGGGGGCCGAGGGCGGCGGCGCTCATAGAAGGCACGGAGGGTTCTTGGGCGTGGCATCGCTCGGACGTGTGCATTTTTTCTCGGCGAGGACCATCGAGGACCATCCCGGACCGTCGAGCGAAAAAACACGCACGGAACCGAACAACGCACGGGAAATGGACGTCCGAGCGACGGCAAGTGGGGGCCGTTCCGCCCCCTGCCTCCCGAGAGGCCTTAGGGCCCCCGGTCCTGGCCGATAGGCCATCCGCCTGCTCGGCAGACGGCGCCCTTCGCCCCGCCGAGCGGTTCTGGTCGTGAAGAGGTGGTGCGTCTCGGCCTCTCCTGCCCACTCCGGGACGTTATCCGCGCTGTTGTGTCTCATTCTCTGGGAGGAGGAGTAGGAGGAGGAGGGGGAGGAGGAGGAGGAGGAAGATGAGGAGGAGGAGGAGGAGGAGGAGGAGTTAATCTTGCTCCCCGTGGAAGAGCTCGGCTGTCCAGCACAGTTCACGGTCTTTGTAGATCAAGCTCTTTTTGTATCCCACCTGTTCCACCAGTCCTCACGAAGTCTCATCTTCTCGATGTGGGCCTGCGCTTGCTAAGTACATCACCACCCACCAAGCCACCCCGACCCAACCCGAAGTCTTCAACTAGCCCCCCATTTCCACTGGGGGGGTCGAGGAACATTGAATACTAGCCTAGCGAAGGACCCAACCATATGCAGCTGTGGGAACCGCATCTGAGAATATCGTCTTCGGTGGAACTCCTTACGGGTGCACGAACCGTGTGAGGGGTGTACCAACGTGGAATGGCGGCGGCACGCTGGCGTTGCCGCGGGCGCAGCGCCGCGCGCCAGTCGCCCCGAAGGGGTCCCAGTGACGCGCGCGGTTCGTCCGCTGCGCGGAGCAAAGAGAGCCAGCTTGCTGGCTGATTGGCTCTGGCTGCTGAGCAGAGCGACGACAGGCGAGCAAGGCGCTGGGCAGAGCGCAGCATGGAGATCCCGCGATGCGCGTCGCTCCAAGAGGGTCCCAGCGACGCGCGCGGGTCGTCCGCGGCGCGGGGCCAAACAGTCAGACCGTCGAGAGGAGGCGAGGCTCGGGCGGGCCGCTCCTCTGGTCAGGCGTCGCGGATAGACTCGGTGAAGCCCATCTCCCTGGCGAGGGCCGTCGCCTCCTTCCAGCACCGCTTCGTGCGCGCCGCTAATTGTTCCAGCTGCTTCCGCGAGCATTCCGGCGACCCTGCCAGGAAGAATTCGGTCCGCGGCGCCCGCGTGAGCATGAGGTCCTCTTGGCGCGTGGCGCGCGAGAGCGGCGCGTAGAGTTCCAGCCACCAGTCGTCGTCCTCCTTCTCGCCGTTCCCGGCCTCTTGGCGGCCGCAGTCCAGGATCAAGACTGGGCGACGTCGGCCGCGGGAGCGACGCGCCGGACAGCCGACGGCCCATGACAAGAGTCTACAGGACCGAGAGAAGGTCTGGCTGCGGACCGCTCGCGCCCAGGCAATAGGGCCATGAAACGCATGAAAAATGTGCTCCCGATGGGACCACGAAGCGCCGCGGTGGTCGCGGGAACCGCATGCGAGTTCCGCCGCTGGGACTCTCGGTGGGCTCCCCATGGGGCTCCGAAACACCGCACTGGACGCAGGAACCGCATGCGAGTTCCGCCACCTAGGACCTTCGGTGGAGTTCCCCATGGGGCCACGATGCGCTGTACTGGGCGAAGGAACCGCGTGCGAGTTCCGCCACTGGGACCTTCAGTGATGTCAGCTTGTGATTTACAAATGACCGGACCCCCCCACCCCAGGGCTGATGAATAGACCCCGCGGGGCGCGATATTTTTGTTAAGTCACGCGCGCCAGGGGAGAGGAGGAAAGAGGAGGGGAGGGAGGAGAAGGAGGAGACGGAGGAGGACGAGGAAGAGGAGGAGGAGAGAGGAGGGGAAGGAGGAGGAGGAGGACTACCCGCCTTGTTCGGGTCGGACGAAAGGCTGGGGAAGGAAAGGGGGGGTTGCGAGGCTTGCTGCGCACAGCTGGTTTCGGTCGCCCCGCCGAAGGCCCAGTCCTCGACGCATGGCCGCTTTAGGCGCCAGACGGCGGTTGGAAAATCGGCGATGTGCGCTGGTTGGCAAATCCCCCCTCTGCTGCGCCCCACTTTCGTCCAGCCCGCCTTGCCCGCAGGCCCGCATCGGTTCGAGAGAATGAGGGGCGCCCTGGCTCGCCCTTGCCTCCAGACAACCCCCCTTGCCTCTCGTTGACGGCTGGGCGTCGGCGCTAATCACCGGCGCCGCCCCGTTGATTTTCAATCTGGCGGGCGCCACCCCGCGATTTGCCCGAAGGGGAATTATTTTTTCAAACACGCGCCCCCCCACGGATTTGTTAATCACAAGCTGGCATTCGAGCCCCCTTGATGGGGCCACGAAGCGCTGCGTTGGGCGCAGGAACCGCATGCGAGTTCCGCCGCTGGGACTCTCGGTGGAGCTCCCGATGGGGCCACGAATCGCTGTACCGGACGCAGGAACCGCATGCGAGTTCCGCCACCTAGGACCTTCGGTGGAGCTTTCTCTGCGGCCACGAAGCGCCGTGCTGGGCGCAGGAACCGCATGCGACTTCCGCCACTGGGACCTTCGGTGGAGCGCTCAACGTGGTTGCGAAGCGCTGCACTGGGCGCAGGAACCGCATGCGAGTTCCGCCACTGGTACGACTGGTGGAGCTCCTTATGGGGCCACGAAGCGTTGAACTGGGTGGGTGAAACGCAGAGAGGAAGGAGGAGGGGGAGGAGGAAGTAAGAAGGAGAACGCGGGGCGCCGTCTTTTCAAAACGAGGACCCGACACCGCAGGATGGTGGGAAAACACACACACATATGGAACCCGTATCCCCTCGAACCCGAAATGTGGGTTTTCGGGTTGGGTTGGGGCGGTATGGTAAACAGTCATACGTACAGGAGGCGCAGGCGGTACCAAGAATGGTTTGCCAAAGGGTGCCCGGCGATCATTTCGCACCTCCCAATGGGCCCGCAGAGCTCTGGGCCATTGTCTCAAAACCCGGGCCGATAGAGGAGAAACCCATCGATTTCTTATGGCAGCATGTCTTATTCTATGTATGCACTGCAGCTTCCTGTAGGTGTGCCCCTCTTCTTGGCTCCCTGCACGTGCCCAGAGATGTGCGCGCAGGGCCGGCCCAGCGCTTTTGCTTCAACTTTTGCCAGCACGTTGGCCCAGGCTGCATGCGGTTGTTGTCGGGACATCGGGGGGTCCTCGTGGAAAGGAACATCACCACGAAACTATGTTCGCAACCGCCACCGCGCCAAGTATGGTTGACATTATTTAATCGCTTCGCTCACTCCGCCGGCCCATAATGTCGCACTGTGGTCGCCTGTCCGAGTGGTCGTTTGCAGTGTGGAGCTGCGGCGTCGGGAGCTGTGTCGTGTTGGGGGCGTTCTTGGGGCCCTCTTGGGCCGTCCTGGAGGCCTCTGGGGCCGTCTTGGAGCCGTCTTGGGCCGTCTTGGGGCCCTCTTGGGGGCCTCTTGGGCCGGGCCCTCTTGGGGCGATCTTGGAGGCCTCTTGAGCCGTTTAGGGGCGTCGGGGAACCGAAAAGGTTAAAACGCCCAAATCTGTCCAACACCAAAAGAGCACAGGTTTTTGCCTCTTGGGGCCCTCTTGGGAGTTCTCTTGGAGGCCTCTGTGGGCATCTTGGAGGCTTCTTGGGCCATCTTGGAGACGTCTTGGGCCGTCCGGAGGCCATCTTGGGCGTCGTGGAGCGATCTTCGGGCGTCTCGGACCTCTCTTGGACCGTGTTGGGGGCGTTCTTGGCCGTCTTGGAGGCCGCTGGGGCCGTCTTGGAGCCGTTTTGGGCCGTCTTGGGGCCCTTTTGAGGGCCTCTTGGGCCCTCTTGGGGCGATCTTGGAGGCCTGTTGAGCCGTTTAGGGGCGTCGGGGAGCCGAAAAGGTTGAAACGCCCAAATCTGTCCAACACCAAAGAAAAAACATTGATGTTTGCCTCTTGGGGCCCTCTTGGGAGTGCTCCTGGAGGTCTCTTGGGGCATCTTGGAGGCTTGTTGGGTCATCTTGGAGACGTCTTGGGCCGTCTGGAGGCCATTTTGGGCGCCGTGGAGCGATCTTCGGGCGTCTCGGACCTCTCTTGGATTGTGTTGGGGGCCTCTTGGGGCCCTCTTGGGGCGATCCTGGAGGATCTGGGGGAGTGTCCCGGGCTCCGCCCGGGGTACTTTTGATCCAGGGACCCCCAGGGGCCGCCCCGCGCGCGCGAACTAGAAATACTGTTTACCAGTTACCGGAGATCTTAGCACGCCTCTGGCCCGTTGGGCTGGCGAATTCAGGGTTGGTTCGCGGGCGTGGAACGTCCACCAAGACATGTACATTGTTTTTCGGGCGAACGCCCGCCTACCTCAGTGTTTTCTCTACGTTCGGTCCCCAGGTCCGACGATGGGGGTGAGGAGGTGAGGCTACTCCAGCGAAGTCGCGTCGGGGCCATTCCAGGAGCGGTTCTGCCGTTGCCCCTTGATCCCCAGGACCGCCCAGGAGCTGCGAGGAAGCTCAAGAGATCGTCTCGGGAACCTTTCAACTATCTGGGGCACCTCAGAGTCTCTCCTGCCCTCCCGGCCCCCCGGGGATGAGCGTAGGAGGCTGCCTGGCCGCGCTGAGGCCGCGCGCAGATGCTCCCGATCCCCCCCTGCTGGGCACCAAAAACTCTGCGGGGAAAAAGCACACATAAAACACACACTGTGGGGAAAAACCACACAGTGTGTTTTTTCCCCACAGTGTGCGTTTTTCCCCCACAGACGTGTGTGTTTGCTTCCCCTCAGTGTGTGTGTGTGTGTATGTGTGTGTGTTTTTTTCCCCACAGTGTGTGTGTGTGTGTGTGTGTGTTGTATGTTTTTGTTGTTTGTGTGTGAATGTGTGTGTGTGAATGTGTGTGTGTTTGTGTGTTTTTGTTGTGTGTGTTGTGTGTGTGTGTGTGTGTGAATGTGTGTGTGTGTGTTTTCCCCTACGTGTGTGTTTTTTCCCCTCGATCGTCCGTGGGCGCGGCCGGGCTCGGAGGGGCCGGGCGAGGCCAGAGAAGAGTCGGGCCGAGGTGTGAGGTCGAGGTCGGCTCGGGGGGGGGTGGGGCCCGGATGTTTTGCGTGCTGATGGGATGCTCCTGTGCATCCTTTCCGGCGAAGGCATCTATACACCACCACCGTGCCAGGCCGGGGCCATCCTGGGCCCCAGGATGGTGCATACGCCCTCCTGGTCGAGGTCGGCTCGGAGGGGGGGGGCCCGGATGTTTTGCGCGCTGATGGGATGCTCCTGTGCGAAAACACACACACACACACACACACACACACACACACACACACACACACACACACACACACACACACACACACACACACACACACACACACACACAAAAACACACAACAACACACAGAAAAAAAAACACAAACAAACACACAACGTGGGACAAAAAAACAACTGTGGGAGCAAATCATGCCAAACACACGTGGGAAAACACACACCAACAAAACACTATGGGGAAACACACACACACACTGTGGGAACACACACACACACACAACAACAACAACAACAACAACAACAACAACAACAACAACAACCACAACAACAACAACATCATCATCAACAACAACACCAACAACAACAAAATCACTGTGTTTTTTTTTCCTACGGAGGGCACCCTCGTATGGTCTGTGTGTTTTGGTCGGCGGAGGGTCTAGTGTTCTTGGAGGGTGTTCTTCTGTTCTAGGTGCGACGTTCAGTCGAGCATCTGATGAAGGAACCTCCGGAAATCTGGGCCAGCGTCTCTTCACCAACTTGCAGGAAAACTGGCCCAGTTTCTCAAGCGCGTGCGCTCTTCCAGCGTCCACAGCAGGAGCTCGCCCAGGCTTGCTTTGAGAGACTTCCATGACGTTGGCCCAGATTTCGTACACGATCATTCTCTTGATTACATTTTCGATTGTATGCGGGACGATGGCCGACAGCAGCTCCTGCCCATTTTTCAAGCAGTGGCGAAGCGCCCTGGCTCGCCTACAGGCCCACCAAAGGATGTTCTAAGAGCCCCGTGTGGTCTGCACTACATGTTCTTAGAACATTTCTGGCCGAGACTGTCCTTCGGGGGCACCGCCCCCGTCTTGCCCGTCCTCATGCGGGGCGTGCCAACGGTCGAGCATTACCAAGCGCGTTCCATTACTCGCAAAGTGCCTACTCGCAAACGTCCGAAAAGCACACGTTCGCCTCGGCGTGATAGATTGCAGATCCCCCGCGGCGGACCCAGGCCATTTGCGAGCAACTACTTTGCGAGTAGTGGAGCGCGATCGTCCAGAGTGAGGGATCGGCTACAAGATTCATGTACACGCTGGTCGCTGAAAGAAGGCATCTCTGGATTCCCAGATTCCAGTCTACGTTTAAGTCGGGCGTGTCCCCCTACAGGGGGATTTTCCACGAAAAATGCAACATACGCAAAAAATACACAAACATTGTCAAACAATACTCCAAAAATAGTCCCCAGACTATGTTTGGACTATTTGTTGATTATTTTGTGTGTATGTTTTATCTTTCGTCGAAGTTCCCCCTGTAGGGGGACAGGCCCGACTTAAGTCTATGCCTGGCGCCTCCCGACTTCAAGGATCGAGAGGTTTCCTTTCTGTGGGAAAACACACACACACAACAAAAACACACACAGTGGGAAAAAAAACACGCACGTGGGTGTTTTGTGTGTGTGTGTGTGTGTGTGTGTGTGTTTATGTGTGTGTGTGTGTTCCTACAGTGTGTGTGTGTGTGTTCCAACAGTGTGTTTTTTTTCCACTGCCGAGGGCGGGCGGAGATCCGAGCCACTCCCAAAACGCCTTCCCGCTGCACGCTTTGGCCTACTTCTCGTCCGTCCGACGGGTCTTCCAAGATTGATGTGTGTCGTCGGACCTGCGCACAATGCGTAGGATGCCCCGTCGACCTGGGAACATCTCCGGCATTACTCGTGGACTCGCCGAGGAAATCAGGTGGGGCAGATCAATTCTGTAGTCAACCCCTTTATTTCAGCGAGCGAAGAGCGGTATAACATAAACTTTTTCGCTGTCGGGGGCGCCTGTCCCTGGGCGGCTGGAAAGTTTATACCCCTACGGTGCCACCGTAAGGGTATAAACTTTCCAGCCGCCCAGGGACAGGCGCCCCCGACAGCGAAAAAGTTTATTTTATACAGTTCTTCGCCCGTTAATTATTCGAAGGGGGTGGGGCTCGGGGCGCCTGACAACACCAGCCGCGTGTAGCCGACCCGCTGCGGCAGGGCCGCCGCTGCGTCGATGCGGCGGCGGCGCCGGCGCGGGCGCACCAGGCTGAGAGGCCCCTGGCGTGGCAGCCATAGGAGGAGGAGGAGGCGGAGGAGGAGGAGGAGGAGGAGGAGGAGGCGGAGGAGGAGGAGGAGGAGGAGGTTGGAGGAGGAGGAGCTGGAGGAGGAGCGATCTCCGCTGTCGGATGGCGGAGACTGCTCGAGGTTGAACGATCTGTCCGGTGCCAGGAAGCAACGTCCACATCGGACCGATAGGAACCAGCCGCCATTCCGCCGCCCCCCGGTCTGCTGACAATCGGGAGCACCTGGGGGATCCAACACCACCAGGCCTCCAACGGCGCAGGGTGGGGCCAGGTCTTGGTGGACATTGTTTCCCGACCGCGCCAGGATGCCATCTTCAACCCAGATGTGTGCCCTGCGCTTGGCATGCGGAGGCCTGGTGGTGATGGAGACGCTCCTCCACACCATGTCACCCCCTGCCCTTTCGCCGTTCCTAGACCTGCGACGTGGTGAAAAGCACAACTCCGCTAGAATTCACGACTGGAGCTCTTGACCGAATCTTTACGCTGCGCTTCTCGGGCGAGGACGATCCGTGAGACTCTCACGGCGCAACGTTCTCACGGAGCGCAAGTCTTCTGGCAGCGATGCGTTTTCGCGGAGCGTGTTGGCACGGTCCGTCAGACTCACGGTGAGAGTCCCGCGTTCCCGAGAGGGGGCGACGAAGCCCATCGCCTTTTGTTCACGACGCCCCCCGATGCCGAAGACAGCCCAGAGGCACCGGCACGCATTCTTGGAGGCCCGCGCGGTTCCTTGGGGTCGGGCACCGGGCCGCGCCTCGCCACGCGCCCAGGAGGCGGCCGCCCCGTCGCTGCGCGCGCCCTGGACACGGCGTGGGGAGACGGCCCAGCGACGACCCCAGGAGATTCATGCGAACCTTCGAAAGTACATGCTGGCGCAGCTGCTTTCTTTTACAGGTACTGTGTTGATATCAACGTGCAGCCGAGATCAATTGATCTCGGCTGCACGTAGGAGTGACCCGTCGCAGGAGTGGCCTCGAGTATCCCGCTCTTGGGGGGCGCGGGGATGCCGGCCCCAATCACGCAAGCCGCCCATGCCGCATCGCATGCAACAGCTGGCGAGCTGCGCATCAAAGGTCACTCTCGCCTAGGGGCGCTCTTGTGTGCAGCCGATCATCGCGTCCTTGACTGCAATTCGCTCTGCATGCTCGAGTCGCAGGCGGCCCCTGTGACGCCGTCCTGCGCCAGAGCCGGTGGGCCGGTGCCTCTCGGCAGAGCCTCCAGGCATGCTGCGCCACAGGGGTTGTCTCAAGCGGCCCAGTGCATGCCAGGGGGGATGGGCAGAGACGGGAGTGGGCGGGAACAGAGCACCCCCTCTCTCCACCTCCATCCCTGCCCTTCACTCCCTGCCCTCCATCCTCTCTTCTTCCCCGCTCCCGGGCTTCTCTTCTGGAGCGGGAGGGAGGGAGGAGACATGGGGGAGGGGAGGATGAGGGGGTGTAGGGAGGAGAGGGGAGGGCGGAGGGGTGGAAGGCTGCTGAAGAGTGAATGGGGGGAAGGGGCAGGAGGGGAATGGAGGAGGGGCCCGGAGAAGAGGGAGTTGTGAAGGGGGGGATGTGGAGCGGGAGATGGAGGGGGATGGGGAGATGGATGGGGGAGGGAAGAGTGATACACCAGCGGGTCAGTGGTGACAAGGGGAGAGGGAAGACAGGGAGATACGGAGAGAGGGAGGGGGGAGGGGGGAGGGGGGGGAGAAAAGGGGAAGGGGAGATATTCTAGGCCTCCTAGGTGGGGTCGGAGTAGATGGGGTCGGAGGATCGCGCCGCATCGCCGATGCATCGGCGATGCGGCTCGATATGGAGCCCGTGTTCCTCCACGCCGGCGTCGCCGATGCATCGCCGCCGTCGCCGCTGCATCGCCGATGCGTCTGCGATGCATTGGCGATGCGGCGCGATCTTCCGGCCCCACTCAATTAGAGGCCTCTAACATGTTTGTTGAGGGAGGGGGGAGGGTCGGGAGGAGGAGGGAAGCCCCGATTTCCTCGGGTCGTTTGAACATACAGGAGGAGGAGGAGGAGGTGGAGAGGAGAGGAGGAGAGGAGGAGGCGAGGAGGAGGAGAGGAGGAGGAGAGAAGGAGAGGAGGAGCAGGAGGGGAGGAGGAGGATAGGAGCAGGAGAGGAGAGGAGGAGGAGGAGGAGAGTAGGGGGAGGTGGAGGAGTTGAAAGGAGGGGAGGAGGAGGAGAGGAGGGAGGGGGAGGAGAGGAGGAGGAGGAGGAGGAGGAGGAGGAGGAGAGGAGGAGAGAGGAGGAGGGGAGGTGGAGGAGTTGGAGAGGAGGGGAGAGAGCGAGGAGAGAGGAGGAAGGGGGAGGAAGGAGAGAGAGGAGGAGGAGAGAGGAGGAGGAGGAGGAGGAGTAGGAAGGAGGAGGAGGGAGGAGGAGGAGGATAGGAGGAGAGGGAGGAAGAGGGAGGAGGAGGAGGAGGAGGAGGAGGAGGAGGAGGGAGGGAGGAGGAGAAGCAGAAGGAGGAGGAGACGCCATACACAAGAGCGGATCGCAAGTGAATGGGCGCCCATGTGGCCCGCGTGCGGTCTCTCGCGTGGCCCCCTCGTGCGTTCCCTGCGCAGGGGCCCCCCATGGCACGGCCCGCCCACGTGGACCTCCCCTCCTCCTCCTCCTCCTCCTCCTCCTCCTCCATCCTCCTCCTCTCCTGCTCTCCTCTCTCTCCCTCCTCCTCCTCCTCCTCCTCCTCCTCCTCCTCCTCCTCCTCCTCCTCCTCCTCCTCCTCCTCCCCTATAGAGTTCGGTTTCTTACGGTCGGCCCCGTCACTTGGAATACGCGCTCTCACGGCCCGACGGCCTCGCGAGGCTCCCGCACGCGGCGCAGTCGACCCAGTCAGATTCTATCAGTACGGCAGGTTCGTGTCGTATCGACGCTGCGGCGACCCGGTTTGACGTCGCCAGTGGGCGAGATCAGCCAGTATGGAACGATTTGGCGATCGATTAGCCACCGATCGTTCCAGGTTGAATGATTCACGCGGTGTCACAAACGTTCTGCACGGCACTGAACCTGCAGCATGCGCCCCCGTGACGGTCTGATCCAGTATCACGGCATGGATATGCGGCGTTCGTGTTTGTTCCGATTCGATGCCGGGCCCATATGGTTTTGGTAGTTTCTGGCGGTTTCCAACTCGTGTTTTTGCAGGTTTCTGGGGGCTTCTGGAGGTGTTCGGAGGTCCAAAGGTGGTTTTCGGATGCGTTCCAGTGTCTTTAGGGGGGCGGCCGAGAATGAGGGGTAAATGATGAGGCGTAGAGGGCGGAACATGACGATGTGGATGAGAAGCAGGATGAGAAGTCGGAGAAATTGGAGTTGGACCAGAAGGAGGAGGATGAGCAGCAGCAGCAGCATCAGGATAAATAGGTGGAGGGTTGAGGGAGTAGGGTAAGGGTTCGAATAATGATTACTCGACGCGGAGATCCCTATGTGCGCATCGATTATTTAGCGCATTCCAGTCTGGACATCTGGGTATCAAAGAACGTGAGCGTGAGCGAGCGAGTCTAAGTACGAGCGTCTGAGTAGTAGTGATCTTGCATATGAGCGCCCGGGTTTGAATGGGCCTGGGTGAGAGGTGCCGGATGACACGCGACGGAATTCAAGCGCATCTGGGCATGAGTGGGTTGAATATGAATCGGCTGGGGAAGCAGTACTGTCTGGACATTCGCGAGAGGATTTTGCCATCCGGGCACCCATGAGTGTCCCGCTGTCTGAGCGGGGACGGGCCCGTGTCATACCCACGGGCGTCTACCCACGGGGCCCCGCAAAGACACGCCTACCTTCCCAAACGGGCTCCTCGCTCGAAACATCCACACCAGAGTTGCCAGCCACTCGCAGAGGGGGGTAGGGGCAGGCGGGAGGGCTTCTTAGAAATACCCCTGCTTCTTAGAAGGTGCAGGCCTTTGCTATAGATGTAGGGCCAGCGCCTTCTAAGAGCCAGCCTTCTTCCAAGAAGCGTTACCACCTCCCACATAGCCTCCTACGCGCGCCGCCAAGCTTGCGCAAACGGGCCCGTGGAACGCTCCCTGGTTCACACCCCCTTGGGTGGCCCAAACGCAGTGACAAAGCGGTGGGGTCGACACCGCCTAGGGTGACCCGAATGCCAAATGCCATGTCTGCTTGATCGCGGCAGCCGTGGGGCTCTGAAAAACAACACACCTCTGTGTTCCAAAAAGGGCGTTTCGGCGCAGCCATCTCCATAGTCTTGGCGCAGACAGGCCCCTGGAACACACACCTGGTCGACACCCCAGGGTGCCCTGCCTGCTGCATCGCGGCGTTCACGGGGCTCTGAGAAGCCAAACGTCTACTCCATAGGCGTGCGTGCTGGCGGAGAAATCACCACAGTCTGGGCGCGAACCAGCCCGTGGAACACCCCTCCCCTGGTCGACACCCCCATCGGCGACCCAAATGCCATGCTTGCTGAACCGCGGCGACCATGGGGTTCTGAAGGGCACAAATCTACTTCCCAAAACGAGCGTTTCGCTTCAGACATTCTCGCAATATCTGCGCAATTTAGCCAGTGGAAGCACCCGTGGTCGACACCCGGTCGGTTGGCCCCATTCTTGCTGCATCGCGGCTCTAGTAAACACACGTCTATTTCCCAACACGGGTGCTTCGCTTAAGCAAGATATCTGCTCAACATTGACGCAAAAAGGGGCCCTTGGAACACCCCTGGTCAACACTCCCCTGGGTGGCCCAAATGCCATGCCTGTTGTATCGCGGCGACCATGTGCTCTGTGAAGACACGCGTACACTTTCGAGAACGGGCGTTTCGCTTCGGAAGTCTCCGCAACTTGGGCGCCAACGGACCCGAGCAACACCACTGGTCGACACAGCTGTGGCCCAAGTGCCACGTCCGATGGCTATGGATATGTCTGGTATGAGTGAGTCTGGGCGTGAGTGAGTCTGACATGAGTGGATCTTAGCACGAATGGGCCCGAGTGTGAGTGAGGCCGAATGTTGTTGATTCTGCGTGCGAATGAGCCTCGTATGAATGAGTGCGAGTATGACCTGGCCTGCGTACGAGCGAGTCTGAAGTCTGAGCCTGTCTGTGCCTAGATGGGTGTTCGCATGAATGGCTTGGGTGTGCGCGGGCCCAAGTAAGTCGGAGTATGAGTCACTACGTGTGCAAGTGGGTACGAGCGTGACTTTGTCTGAGCGTGTGAAACCCAAGGTTCCGAATATGAGCGAGTATGAGTTCGAGCGTGAGTGGTCTGGATGCAAGAGGAAGTAGGAAGTGGGATGTGGGAGGGAGGCGGCGGTGGCAATGCGAGGAGAGGGAGGAGCTGGGGTTGGGAGAGATACGCTGACGACCGGCCGCCTTTCCACTTGACCGTCTGAACTTATAGACTACGCTGGCTCTGCCGTCACAGAAAAGTATGGCCATTCTTGCATGTCTGGCTCCGTCTCCTCGTCTTGCCCCTCACGCTACAACGAACAGATACTAACGTGCAGCACGCGCGCTGCGGAAGCGCAGTTCGCAGCAGCAGCAGCAGCAGCAGCAGCAGCAGCAGCAGCAGCAGCAGCATTAGGCGCAAGCGGCTGCCAGAGGTGCCGCCAGAGGCAGAGGCGCCGCCCGAGGGGCCCCGCGCTGATCCGAGAAGTCGGCGCGGAGTTCTTTAAAGT